ACCTTCCCGGACGTGACTTTGATTGCTCCCGTGTTCTTCTGAGGGCTGGTTTTGTTTTTGTTTGGGTGGCCCTGTCTTACTGCTAACACCTTAGTGAGATGCTTCCATGCCCTTGAGCATACCAGCCTCTGAGCACTGAGTGTGTGCCTAGTGTGGGGCGGGTGGAGGTGGGGAGGGTGTTGGCTTAGCTTTTAACCCATGGGGATTTTGTCCAACAAGGAATGGAGTGATTTCAGAGCTGCTCTGATGGAACCCTCTGCTGGGCTCCCACCTCTCAGTGCCATCTGTAGAGTTGCATCAGAAGACACAGAAAGTTCTGTGGCCATGAAAGACACCAGCTCGGAAGGGTTGTGTCTTCAGTGGCACCCTCAGAAAAGCTGTCTTAAAACAAAGAGGTATCTGGCTCCAGAAATGTTTCGTATGAAAACAAAGTCCCCCATCCCCACCCTGCCACCCTGGCAAAGTTATTCCCTTTACACCTGCCCAGTGTGCCATTGTCCAGTCTCCAGGTCAGCATTTAAGAGCGTGGTTGACATCCCCTGCGGCAGTCACTGCGCTGTTTACTAAACACAAGTTCCTGTCCTCCCTCCCCAGCAAAACGTGCTGAACCAGATCTCTGGAATTGGGCTCTAGGAATCTGCATTTCAGCCTGCTTCCCAGGTGACCCTGATGCACCCCACTATTCGAGTTGATTTCTAAAAGGAACATGCCACATCACTCCTGGTATCCTGGGGTCGTGTTTCTCTTCTCTCTCAGTTCTCCTTGGAGCAAGAGCTTTCCTGGGCCGCAAATGAGAAAATGATTGCGAGGAGCCCACAGCAGCACTGAGCATGCTGGGAACTCAGGACTCGGAGTTGAAAGAGCCACTGTTGTTCCAGGTAGAACTACCTGGACTGTGGCTAGGGCCTTGGATGCTGTGTGACCAGGGCAGCTCTGCCAGCGCAATTGGCCAACAATCATTTTCATTTCTTGTTGGAAGCCAGATCCTCTGCTCAGCTCCCTTCCTAGCTATTGTTACCCTAATTCTGCTGAAGACCCATGGGGCTATAATTCTTGTTTTTGTTCCTCTTCACAGCATTAACAGCAGCAAAGTTGTACCCCGGTTTGAAAGGTTTGGCTTGGGCGTCCTGGAGTCCAGTAATTCAAAGATGTAGCCAGCCATGTGGTTTTTCTGCTGCTGATCTCTTTCTTTTTAAAATGCGTTTCTGAAACATCCAAACAACCACCACGACAAAAAAATAGACTACCTGCTGAGCGCTGCAAACCGGGAGCACGTGTCCTAGATTGAGATTGTTCGCAATAAACCCCATTCGGGAGATGGAGCTGCACCTGCTATTTCTTAACATGACACCACCAACAACCAAACCTGTCCTGACAGACAGCAAATGTTTACACCTATATGTCTGCTGAGTGAACCTGATGTTTTACAATAGATTAATAATAGAAACAGTCCATGCGTAGATGCGCTGGCACTAACGGCCAGGATGGCGGAAATGGCCGTGTCCTCTGGAGGACCTTGTAGGCGGTGAGGGACCCATGCTGGGCCAGAGGGGAAGACACATGGCGATTGCAGCTGTTCTTGGGATGGGGCAGGGAGCCCACAAGGTCTGACCTGGACTCGGCTTTTTGACCCAAGAGCCCATTGAGGGATTGGAGACTCTCTCTAGGCCTCTCCCCTTGTCCTTCCAAAGGGATGCTGCCCCTTCCTTGTCTTGCAGAGGAAACCCTGGCTGGGAACTGAGCTAGATTATGGAGTCTGGAGTTCCTGGAGAGCTTGGGTTCACCTTCTCATCCCTGTAATCCAGGCTTCTCCTGTTGGAAAAATAGAAACAGAATCCAGAAAATGTCTGGACTCACCCGGTAGTTCCCAGCCAGGGTTTCTGCTGCAAGGTGAGGAAACACCCATAGCTTGTACAGATGTGAGTCTTTGATGAAGCCCCCAGCAGGCACCAAGGTGATGGGACTCAGGACCTTGGCTTTTCGATACATCCCAGTCCCTGACTGACATCTGACCACGAGGGCTGGATGGGTGAGAACGAGGAAGACAGGAGAAGGAGTAGATGGCAAAGGTACCTGAGCCCTCTTCCCAGCCACAGGGTGACCCTGGCACTGTAAAACCCTTTGTCAGTCATGCTAGAAGGTTCTAGAATTTCCCACCTCTTCCATGTCAGTCCTGTTGAAACCCCTTAGCCCATTACCAACTCCCCTGTCCATGCTCTGAGCTCAGATGGGCAGCGTGTGGCCCATGACCCCTTTCATGTAGACCCAGCTAGCTGGCCCCCATCTGCAGAGTCTTCTCTGGCACCACTAGGCCTTCTACTTGTATCCGTTTGAAGCAGGAGGGGCTGGATTTGGAAAAGTCTTTGACGTGAGAGCACCACACTTGTCTTCATTAGCAACTCTCACCTGCAGAGAAAAGTTCCAGATGCCAAGGGAACCCTTAAGTGGAGGTTAGGCTGTGTTAGCCTCCAAAACCAGAAAGGAAAAGGGTTGGGAGTGAAGATGAGATTGGATTCAGGCCCAGGACCTGTGACCATGCTCTGAGCTCGGACTTGGGAAGGGAGGGAGGTGGCTCCCACCCCTTGCAGTTAGACCCGCCTACCAGAGCCCCAGTCTCCAGCCCCTTCCCTAGCACCGGAGCCTGGTCAGAATGCCACGGAAGATGAGCTGCTCTGCCAGGAAGCTGTGGAGCTGCCTCCTCTCCAGGCCGGGCACCCCTTGGTCAGCCCCTCCTTGGCACAGCTATATAGCAGTGCCAGCGTGCTTGTCCATCAGTGTCTTCACCCTTCCCAGCACTTGAGGGGTGGCCATGAACCACATGGACTTGGCTCTGTGCAGGGCTTCTGTGCTGTGGTGGGACTGCTCATTTTGCCCTATCAACCTTTGGGCCACCACACGCCTGCCCCTTCCCAGGGATCACCTGTGTCTCCAGCCTTCCACTTTTCTATTGCAACGGTGCCCTTTGTCCAGGAGAGAGTAGGCCCGATGGATGTCCTGGTGAGCCCCACGGTTGGACATCAGCTCAGCCAGTCAGGCTCGGTTCCTCCCCAACCCCTGACGCCAGGCCACAGTGGGACGCGCAGGCCCCCAGAAAGTCATTCTGGGTTTTGCTTTTTCTCATGAGCATCACAGTTAAAGAAGCATTCATTGAGCAACTACAGTGCACTTGGCCCTGTGCAAGTGCTGGGCACCTAGAGATAGGAGCAGTCATGGTCCCTGCTCTTAAGGAACTGATGACCTGGTGGGGCCCTGTTATCTTCCAGGAACCCAGAAGCCACTGGGCCCCACAGGTGGAACTGGAGGACTGGGGGCAGCCTTCTGGCTCTCAGCCTGCCACCTCTGTACTGCCTGTCTTTTAAGAACCCCACCCCATCCCGTGATGGTCCCCCTGCTTCCCTTGTATTTCAGTGACTGTGAACTGAGGTTAGGAAGGCACACCTGCCCTTCTGTGTGTTCTCTCCGTCTGCCTTGGAAACACGAAGGACGACAGATACTGTGAATTCAGCCCTCACAGCCAGCTGTGAAGGGGATGGAGAAGGCTGGGAGGGCTTGGGGAGAGCTCTTAGGGGCTGCGGAAGTCCCCACTGGGGTCTGAGAGTGGAGCCCAAGCTTTGGCCCTCCAAGGCACCCCCAGTTTCCAGCCTCGCCTCTGAAGCCCTGCTGCCTTGAACCACCAGAGCCGCAGCCCCCTGGGTTTCTGCCTAACTCGAAGTCTTGAATCCTAGCTAGTTTGGGGTTAGTTGTGAGCAGTGTGTAGCAAAGCTGATCTCTCCATGTCGCCAAGTCAAAACACCCTCTGTCTCCTTACAGCATTTCCTCTTGAGGTCACAGAGGGGAATGGCAAGCCCTGGCAACCTGTGCTATTCTGTGTGGCTTTGGCATGGGGGGAGGGCGGGCATGTAAATGTGAAGCCAGTTGGAGTTTGTGCTGTGCAGCAGTGTTAGCCAGGATCTCATCAGCGTGTGCAAACCTAGCATCTGTGGCCACAAACCATACACTTGCTTTCTTTGAATGCGATGTAAAATTTGTACAGTAAAGTTTTTATATTTTCTATCAACTGTATTTGTCTTCCAGACATGCTATTAATTTAAATTAAAATGGTTAGTATTAACAAACGTGCTGTATCGGGTTTTTTTGCCACTGGCAAGAACATGCCTTCTGTGCTAAGCTAGGCCCGGGCATCTGGAG